TGTGTGTGTGTGTGTGTGTGTGTGTGTGTGTGTGTGTGTGTGTGTGTGCGTGTGTGTGTGTGTGTGAATTGATGCTCCGTCCTAACCACTATGTATATATATATAGTGGTTAGGACGGAGCATGCTTAACCACTACATATATATATAGTGGTTAAGATTGGGCATGCTTACTTTGTGCTTTCGTTGTTGCATTGACGCCCTCCCCTCCCCTCCCCGCCGCTCCCCCTCTCTTGCTCCCCTAACTCGTCTGTTCGAGGTCATTGTTCTGCCAACGACAACCGAAATAGCTCCGTCAATTTGCGGATTAAATCGCTTAGAATAACAGTGCATTTTTTTTTTTGTTCTAAATTAGCTGAATTTTGTTTTGAGTTACGTATTGAGTCAGCGTTATGTTGTTTTTAGTAGAACCGTTGAACATTCAAACTAGTCCTAGAGTTCGGGAAATTTATTGAATAATTTATTAAACTGACCTCACCGTGGGTTAAAATTTTCGGGCTGTGGCCGTTCCATATTCTTCATGCTTCGGCCGACCCGCTTTTTTCGGAAATTACGGTTCGGCCTGCGAGTCGTAGCAAGTTATTTTAACAAACTTATCCCACCCTTCGTTTTAATTTTTCAACTCTGGTGGTTCTAAATTTTGATTTCTTTGGATTGTCCACTTTTTTTAAGGTTGTGATGCGGTCCTAGAGCGACCGCAGTTTATCATTATTTCTATTAATCGAGTTTTCTTGCTCTTTTTAAAAAAAAAGTATGCAACGCAGAAACAAAATATGCAAACCTGGGAAAGTTTTGAGAAGAAGCAATGAGGTATGGCGATCGCACATCCTGATTAAGTGCATATAAGCTAGTTGAACCGTTTGCATTACAAATGAGGTAGAAAACATTGCCTGTTTCCTCATTTCTTACCTAATTTATTACTTCTTCTTTTTACATCTTTCCTTTTTTCTCCTTTTTGACCTTTTCTATCATCCACTTCTACATTTTCTAACAAAATTTCCACTTAACCTTAAATACCGGTTTTTTTTTTTGGCACCAAATTTGACTTGTTTGTTTGTAGGTGGGAGAAAGCGATGCAACGCTGTGTAGCGATACGTGGTGTCCGCTGATGCGATTGTTGGTGGAGGTTCTGGATACCAACCATATGGCCACACATCAGGCTGTCCTAGCAGCTTTTTCGTCGCTTTCAGTGAACCCATTCCAACTATTCCTGACCTATGCCAATGCACGACCACAGCTGACGATTTTCCAGAATTTGCTTCATCGAGCCGTTACCTATATTCTCTACACACTTTCATCTTCTCCATCTCCGCTCATACAATACTTGTTCAAGGTAAGCCCATCCATGCACTTATTTTTGTTGGATTCTATATTATTGATGCCAAAATGTCATAGATTTGCTGTTACTTATAAGTATCTATAAGCAAAAAAGAGTTTGATATTGCCAGACTGGAACGCTCCGTTCTCAGATTTTGCTTCAGGAATCGTTCAGTACTGAGCAAATTCATCTTCCCTGATGATTCCGGAATTAAACGCCCAGTCAGCAGTCTGTTCTCATAAACGGCTCTTCCTAATAATTAAATATAATGATTGTCCGTATCGTGTTTTAACTTCCCTTCTTTCCTTCCTTTCTCACTTTATTTGCTCCTTCACTTAAATCTATTTCTTCGTCTCATCCGTCTTGCAAAGCAGTTACATGACTATTCAAAACATGGCGAGTAGGAGGCTGTACTGACGATTCCCACTTCTACCCGTATGCACAGTTCGGTCTTTGTATACAGCTAAGGGATGAAACACAGAGGCTGCGTCATAAAATGTCTTCATAAACATGACATTCAAGTGAAATCCTATTCTTCTGTTTCGATACTTGATACGGCGTTTCCGTCACTGATACCCTGTTGATCTTTTTCTCCTGTGACTGCTGAGCCGACAACCATACCACCGAGTCCTATCCTGAGCTCGCCTCATCCATAACATTCCATGTAATTGAGTTAACGGACCGGACCAGCGCATCGGTGGCTTTCCTATTAGCCTTCTGACTGGCACTTAATACCTTGGATTGCGTTACTGCCGTAGCAACAGAATTTCAACCAACGGCCACAAAAAACCACTTGACAATTTCACCCTCTTCAGCGGCACTGCTTTTGGACTGTCCAGTTTTGGTTC